AAGGAACAGAGGAATGTAATAATTTGCCCAAGTTTCCTATCTAGTGAGTGGCAAAGCTGAGATCCAAACCAGATCTGTTGGATTAAAACCATGTCCTTGACTGCTGGTTTCTCATTAAACTTAAGGACCATAAGTCATCTCTAGAAAATGTGGGATGGAGTTATCCTTGCTAGGAATTTGGGTCACTTTACTCTGGGTCTAGTTACTGCACACCAGTATCTGAAAATACACTCTTCACTTACAGACATCCTCCTGATTGGAGAGGAAATGTCACAGTCAACTTCATTCCAGGCCTGCATCTTTCAAAGAAGGAAAGAATGTCTCATAGCCATTCAAACCCTGCCATTCCACTTTTCTTCATTTTTCTACTATTGGAAAGTTTCCCACTTTCCTCCAATCATTTCTCTCCTTGAATAGTTCCAAAGGTTTCCCAGTATCGTTAGAAAACCAAAATCACCAGGACAAATTTAGTGTCAGAGAAACAGATTAAAATGAAGTTTCATTTAAATGTTTAAAACATTTCCAAATTTATACTAGATACTGAGGAAAGAGAGCAAAGAAGTACAAAACTTGGGCTCCACCAACAAGAGTCCAGTAACAGTCAAGAAAGTCTTCATGATCCCTTCAGTTACAATGCTTTAGGTTTCCAATTATTTGAACCCTTTTGGTGGGTTTATGGATTGCTTTACAAATGATTAACTTTAGGGCAAAGATCCTGAGACCACCAAAGGGATAAGAGCCAGTCAAATGAAAACAGCATAACTCTAAAATTATAATTCCAATAAATAAGTAAATTTGATTGACAAAAAATGCACACTTGTGACCTAATTTTAAATTTGAAAGAAACTGTCTTAGCCTGAAACAAAGGCTTGCTTGCTGCTTACTTGCTTTAAGGTAGTTAATTTGAGAGCAAGGGTTAGGGATGGAGTGATATGAGGATGGAGTGATATGATATGAGAGAATGAGGAAGAAACCATACAAAGGTACATTATTGCATTAGCCACTCAATAGTTGAATGGTACTCATCACACAGAACCTTATGAAAAACCTTATGAAATCTCAGGACTGCCTACTCCAAAAGGTGAAAGGAGGAAGTGTTTATCCTCCTTTAGTCCTCCTTGGATTTACCATTAGTCCAGGACGGTCCTGGATCATGCACATGTAAGTATAGAGCAAGCTCCCAGAATTATCCCATATTGCAACACCAGAGAAGCTGCAGGGCAGGAGGCAAGAGATATATGTCAGGAAAGACACTGCCAGGTAGCGTACGCCTGAATCTGGCCAAATTCCTTAGCCTAGGAGATGAGGCTAAGAATATTCGAAGTGGCACCCAGGAAGTGTCCAAGGCAAAACCATTATCAACAGTTTGTGGGGGAGGCACCTGGCTGTCTCAGTGCACAAAGCATGGGACTCTTGATCTCAGGGTTGTGAGTTCAAGCCCCATATTGGGCATAGGGCCTACTCATAAAACAAAAACAAAAAGCAGTTTGGTATACATACGCCCAGACACAGTTTTTTCATTTATTCATTCATTAGTGAACCATTCAAGGCATTCATTAAGCTTCAGCCACATGCCAGTTACTGTGTTAGGTTTAAGGCAAAGAGCAGTGACAAGACACATAAGTACCTTGTTTTTCTTGGAGCTTGTCTGTTTGGGGAATCAGGCATTAAATCATTATAATTACTGAATTATGATTGTGATAACTGCTATGAAGGATAAATGTAGAATGATAAACTTTCTAGTCGCGAGAATTAAGAAAGGCTTCCCTGAGGAAGTGGCATTTAAACTAAAACTTGGCAGAGGAGGGGTTTAAAAAAGCAAAGGGTCGGGAAGAGTAACTAGGAAGAGAGGAGGAGGAAGAGTGTAACTAGAAAATGTTGCAGACAAAGTGCATAAACAAATGCATTCCAGTGGAAAAACTGAAACTGTCCTGAATATAGAGAAAAAGCCAGTGGAACTAGTGTGGGTGGGTGAGGGGAGATGTGCAATAAGTTGAGGCAGGCAGGAGCCAGGGCCTGGTAAGACAAAAGGGATTTAGATTTTATCTAAGGTCAATCGGAACCTACTGAAGAGTTGTGAATAGGGGAACAATATGAACAAATTTGGGGATGGAGTTTGTTTAACATAAATGGAGATATATTTGTAAATACAAACAGCAGAAACTCATAAATATCACAAAGGTATTGAAAAAGTACAGTCTGTGGAGCACCTGGGTGGCTCAGTGGTTGAGGGTTGAGCGTCTACCTTTGGCTCAGGGAGTGATCCTGGGGTCCTGGGATCAAGTACCGCATCAGGCTCCTTGCAGGGAGCCTGCTTCTCTCTCTGCCTCTCTCTATATATATCTCTCATGAATGAAAAAATAAAATCTTTTTAAAAAATAAAAAAGTACAGTGTGTAATCATTATATACAGTACAGATATAAACAGGAATTTTGATTCAGGGTGGGAGCAGTAGAGGTGGTGGCCTGAGCCTGGAGTCTGGGAAGGCATACATAGTTCACCTTTTTGTTTATTTTTGAGGACTACTTGTTCATCTGATTTGATGCCAAGGTAGCATTTGGGTAAGCCAGGATGAAATCCTCATTTAAAACTCTCCCCTTTTTTCAAAAGCTTCAAAAGTTTCTACCAAGACTAACCTCATACGTGGGTGGTGGTGGGGACCACCTACAAGGTGTGAATTAAAAGGTGCTAAAAGACCACTCCTGTTCTGTGTAAACTTTCTCTGTCTTTCACTAGCACCTAAGAATCGACCATCACACTTGTATTCTGCTGAATCTTCAGTTGTCAGATAGTGCAGAGCAGCCTACTAGATCTATCTTGCCTTCCTGGAATGCACCTAGTGTTTGAGTTTTGTCAGGGATAGGAGAGTTCGAAGCTACTTGAGACAACTGGTCATGCAATGGCATGGAAATGCATGAGACTGGGCATTTTGTATCATTTTGTTTTAGGTTGGCTCTGAGATCAGCTGGTGTGTACATATGGACATATATAAATGTGAATGGATTTACACAATAAAGAGATATGGGTATACTTACGGCACGTCCAGGAGTTTATAATATGGGAAGCAATAATGGAAAGGAACACAGCCCCTGGGATTGGGCCAGCCTGGGTTCAGGTCAGAAGCTTTGTAATCCTAATAAAGTTATGGCACCTACCTTATTGGGTGGTTGGGAAGATTTAATGAGATAATCTGTTTAAAGTCTTAGCACTGGTCCATGAGTACTTCGCAAATGTTACTCTTAAGGTTATGTGTGCTTTTGTCTTTATGCAAGTATGTGTGTCCATGTTCATGTGGTGCAAATTTGGGCATCTAAGGGAGGTAGAATATGTTTAAGAACAAGAGAGGGAAAGAGGAAGGATGTTGTTCACCTCTGCAGCAGGAGTTATAGCACTGGAGCAGACCTTTCTAGAGGGTGAGGGGTCTGCAGAGCAGCTCACAGAGGAGAGGGCTCAGCTTTACCAAGTGGGAAAAAGTAAGGGACAGGAAAGGGCCTCAGATAAGAGACTTCCTGATGAGCATAGAATTTATAAAAGTGGAAATTAATTGAAGGAGAACAGGCAACAGAATTGGATTTGATGTTGTGGAAGCCCAAAAAAAACCTTCATAAAGAGAGATGAGAAAAAGAGTTGAACATGGTTTCTGAAATTGGCATGTACTCAAATCAGGTCTCTGTGCTCAGAGGACAGATGACTTCATCTGCTGCATCCTAAAGCTCTCCTCTGTTGTGAGCTCCATGCATCTTTGCTTTTTCAGAAATAACATGGAAAAATTTTGTAAAACATGTAATCCGCCACCTGTTATCTGGCGTCTTGGTCCCCTCTTAAGATATTCCCATGGAGCTGTAGCTAAGTGCTTTCTGCATCATAAAGAACTGTCATCCTTAAGTTGAAAGAAGAGATTTAGTAAAAAAAAAAAAAAAAAAAAAAGAATACCAGTTTCTAGTCCCAGTTCTGCCCCTAAATTACTGGGCAACTTGAAGGAATCTCTTGATCTCTCTGGGCACAGCTGCCTCATCTGCAAAGGAAGTTGATTGGTCAGCTTGGGTCATTATCTTTTGACTTCCTGCCATCCCCAGATGCGGTTTAGCTCCCTCCAACCATCTCCTCCCCTTAAAGCTGTATCACCATAGGACATGGTAGTACGGAGCACGGAACACCTGTCTCTTGCTGGCTGTGACTCCTGGAATGGGTTATTTAACCTCCCTGTGTCTCAGTTTCCTTATTTGCGAATGAGGGTAAAGAAGAGTGTAGTGTATTACTGGCTTAACAGGATTAAGTGAGTTATATAGGTAAAGTAGAACAGTGCTTAGCACAGATAAGGGCTACTCTGGGGTAAGATTATCATGAGTATTTACTTCATGGAATAACTATGTAACTTTACATGAAATGTGTTATAGATAAATCAAGACATCAAAGTATTAGTATTATTTGGAGCTATGGAAAGATTCCAGCAGGCATGGGGCAGGGAGAGAGACTGAAACCATTCCTTCTTCAAAACCCTTCTGTGCTGTGATTTTTCAAAGGTGTACATGTACTACCATGATACGATTTTTTTTTAAATTTAAAGAGATTGAGCAAAAGAGATCACTAAAGGTCCGTCTCAAATGTACAAATTCAAGGACTGACTGCTTTTCAAGGAGCAGTACTTTTTAGGTGGCGGGCTTATCTCTGTTATAGCTACCGTTAATATGTTTGACCTTTTCAGCAAATCCTTATAAAGGTTTAAAATACACACAGTCACCTTGGCATGTTTATAAACCGAGTATGTTTCAACTTCTGGGATAGGAGACAAAATGAGAAAAGTGAAAATATCAACTGCAAATATTTAGCCTTAGGGGCTGGCTTATATTTTGTCCCTTCTAATCTTTTCCCAGAAATCAACTCAGTTACACAAAGGAACGATGGGCAGCAGAGGGTGAACTCCCGAGAAAAGCGCTGCTGCCTGCCAGGCAGTGAAAGCGTTAACAGGGCTGAGTAAGGCGATCCTTGAAATGAGTAAGACTCAGAGTTGTTAAAGTTTTCAAAGCACGGCAGCGGCTCTTGGGGAAAAGGAAGCGAGTTGGAGGGAGCCTGGCCAGCCGAGGATGGAGGATCGCGCTCAGCTGAACTCAGCTGGGGTTCTGTGCTCAAGGTTAGTGCCCCCCACACACATATCTCCCCAGAACTGACACCTTGGGAGAGTTGTCTCAGGAAGGCAAGGTGCCCTCTCTCCTCCTGGTGTGTCATGTCTGCTTTGCTTACTGGCGGGCCACCCGTCCTTGGGCTGAACCTCCCAAACCTCCGGGGCTGCTGTGCACAATTTTGGCACTTGTGAGGGACAGGTGACCTCCTCTTCCTGGGAGACCTCTTTCAACTGGACACTTCTTTTCAGACGTCTAAAAGGAAACTTTCTGGAATAAGGATGTTTTCAGACCACACACACACACACACACTCACACCTGTATACATTGCTCCATCTTGATTTTTGTTGGTTGTGACCACAATCCAGAATTGGGATCTGTTTCAGATGAAACTGAGAACACTTGTCAAAGTAACTAAACAGGCTGTGTGACTTCACCCTGTGGGAGGAATCTTGTCTCTGAGGCTAGAATAATCAGGGAAGAAAAGGAAGGAGAGAAGGGGGGAGAAAAGAAGGAAGAAAGGGATGGAGGGAGGGACGAAAGGAGAGAAGGAGGGGGGAAAAAAGCTTCCAAGCATCCTGGCCTGTGGTTAAGGCAAACAATTTTTGAAAATGTGTTTCTTATAGAACTTTTTCTCATATGTTGCTAGAACAAACTAATGGGGGAAGATGCATAATGAAGGAGCTAATCCTACATCTGCATGAGATTCAGATAAACTTGTCTATATAAACTTGTCTGTGCTGCAGATAACAGATAAACCTAGGGGAAGAAGGAGGACTAGATGACTTCACAGAAATTGCATTTTGGAGGGGCCCTTGATGTCAGAACTGAAACTGATTGTCTGGTGGGGAAAAGAACCCCCTTTGAGCCCTCAGGCCACCTCAACCAGCCAGTTTTGTCTCCTTGCTCTTGCTTCCACACAGAGAAGCAATGAGTAAGTAGTCAGTCACCATGGAGAATGCTCCCTGAGATCCTCCAGCAGGCAGGAGTTGAGCCTCATACCTGCTAGCACTGAATCAGAATGAGTCATTTGAAACTTGGGTGCTGGAACAAAGTACTTGCAAACTGCCTTATGAGACACTGCCTCCATGTAGGTGGGATATACCTCTCAGAGCAGTCCCATTTTCTTCATCTCTTCCTTTCTCATTCACACAGGCAGGAATTCTGACACTCCCAAGAGACTGGATCTGCCTCCTTGGCTCAGCTCACCCTACCATGCAGAATTTGCCCCTCCAGATCAGGATTGGAGTTTTAAAATAAAATGGATGATTTGACGTTACTTGATCTTCTGGAGTGCCCCGTGTGCTTTGAAAAGCTCGACGTCACAGCTAAAGTCCTCCCTTGCCAGCACACCTTCTGCAAACCATGTCTCCAGAGGATTTTCAAGGCCCACAAGGAGCTGAGGTGCCCCGAATGCAGGACCCTGGTGTTTTGCAGCATCGAGGCTCTGCCAGCCAACCTGCTGCTCGTGCGTCTTCTAGATGGTGTGCGCTCAGGGCAGAGCTCTGGAAGAGGGGGCTCCTTCCGCAGGCCTGGTGTGCTGACCTCGCAGGACAGCAGGAAAAGCGGGACTAACCCCAGAGGTCTGCAGTCCAGCCCTTTCCGACTGGTGCCTAATATCAGAATCCACATGGATGGGGTAAGAAAGATCTTATTTGTTCGTATTGTGTCCCTTTGGAGGTTGGATTTGTGTATACCAGCAGCTAGGAATTATCTTCCTGTAGTTACATTTCAATGAATGCTGCCAGTGATTCCCCAGAGAGAAGCTTCTATGGGCAGGGATCATTTTACTGAAACTTGGTGGAATCCTGAGCCTATCTTATCCATCCAGAAATTCTTAGAATTGTTGAGGTCTCCCCATGCTGCTTGTCTAGAAGGTACTAGCACAAAGAAAGCCTTCGTGATTATTTTTCACCTTTCACTTCTGCTATTTGAGGCCAAAACCAGTGCACAGGAAATGTGCAGAGGAGGGGGAAAAAGAGAAAACAAATCCAGCTGCTTTTTGCTTTTGAGATCTTTGAGAAGTTAAATGTCAGGTTTTGTTTTAATTTTACCCAACTCCATCTTCCCACCTCCAGTCCTGAAGCGCTATTATGACAGTGCTCATTCATGATCTGTTCGAAGTTATCAAGATACTTGAACACCCAAAGACTGTGCAGGAGGAAAGCATATCTGTGGGTGGACTGATTGATAGGAAGGCTGGGCTGTGAAGTACAACACGTGTGTACAGGAGCCCTGCAGATGTCTAACTCTACAAAATGAATCAAACATACATAAAATGCACCTCGGTGGCTGCCATAACCATAAAGGCCCGGCAGTGGTGCACAGGAGATCATAGGAATTCTTTTGGTGTTTGGATAACGCGAATCATTCTATCCAGCCATGCGATTGGATCCTGAGGACTCTATCTGACCTTGCTGCAAGCCTTTTGTGGGAAGCTGTGTTAAGGACACATCTTGAGAGGAGGGACGCAGTCCTTGTGAGTCCAGCAGGATTATGTGCACTGTCACCCCAGGAGTCAGTGTATCAGAACAGACACAGAAAGCTGTGACCTGGGTTACTGGCATACTTAGAAAGTCAAGGCTGCCTTCTGTGAAGTCTTACCTAAAGTGAACAGCTTTTTTTTTTTTTTACATTATTCTTTTTAATTAATTTATTTTTTAATAAATTTATTTTTTATTGGTGTTCAATTTACCAACATACAGAATAACACCCAGTGCTCATCCCGTCAAGTGCCCCCATCAGTGCCCGTCACCCATTCACCCCCACCCCCCGCCTTCCTCCCCTTCCACCACCCCTAGTTTGTTTCCCAGAGTTAGGAGTCTTTATGTTCTGTCTCCCTTTCTGATATTTCCCACACATTTCTTCTCCCTTCCCTTCTAATCCTTTTCACTATTATTTATATTCCCCAAATGAATGAGAACATACACTGTTTGTCCTTCTCTGATTGACTTCCTTCACTCAGCATAATACCCTCCAGTTCCACCCACGTTGAAGCAAATGGTGGGTATTTGTCGTTTCTAATGGCTGAGTAATATTCCATTGTATACATAAACCACATCTTCTTTATCCATTCATCTGTCGATGGACACCGAGGCTCCTTCCACAGTTTGGCTATTGTGGACATTACTGCTAGAAACATCGGGGTGCAGGTGTCCCTGCGTTTCATTGCATCTGAATCTTTGGGGTAAATCCCCAACAGTGCAATTGATGGGTCGTAGGGCAGGTCTATTTTTAACTCTTTGAGGAACCTCCACACAGTTTTCCAGAATGGCTGCACCAGTTCACATTCCCACCAACAGTGCAAGAGGGTTCCCTTTTCTCCGCATCCTCTCCAACATTTGTTGTTTCCTGCCTTGTTAATTTTCCCCATTCTCACTGGTGTGAGGTGGTATCTCATTGTGGTTTTGATTTGTATTTCCCTGATGGCAAGTGATGCAGAGCATTTTCTCATGTGCATGTTGGCCATGTCTATGTCTTCCTCTGTGAGATTTCTGTTCATGTCTTTTGCCCATTTCATGATTAGATTGTTTGTTTCTTTGGTGTTGAACAGCTTTAAATCTAACAGCAGAATCCCCCCAACTCCGTTGTGAAGAGTAACAGTGGGTGGGAGGGTCTTCGCAGATTCCTTCCGGCACTGGAGAATAGGCTTATGATGTGCAGTCAGGACACTTTTCTAAAATACTCCTTTCAGCGGCTCACCTCCTTCTGTTCCCTACATCTCCAAGCTGCCCATGTAGTAGGGGAATGTGTCAAAAATGTGAGCGGGAAGCAGTGGGCATTGGTGTGATTTCTTCACTGCAGACTTTTTATTGCCATTGTGCTTGTATGTGTGACTGCATTCCTGAAAAGGGCTTGGTGCCCTTCTTGCAGGCTTCCTGTTAGCCCAAGGTCTAGTCATCAATCAGAATCCACAGGCCTGGAAAAGGCAGGGTGGGGGTAGGGCACTAAACTTCTCTCAGGTGCCTTGTTTGTAGAGAATAGGGCTCTATCTGAGGTCAGCAAATCCTCTGAATTTCTAAGACCCAACAACCTCTCCCCTCCCCCCACCCAGCAAAGTCTGACTTGCCTCCTGGTGGAGTATCTTCCCTCACTAGGAAAGTGTCGCCAGACTGGGAGGAAGGAAGTCTCTGACATCTTCGAATATTTTTGTTCAGGTTTTTATCTTTTTTTTAATGTGGCCAGGTTAAGAAAAGGTAGCAAGGAATGTATCCACGGTGACCGAGGTTTTGAACTGTGGAAGATTCCCAGGCCCCTCCTGGCATAGGGAGCTGTGGGACTGAGAGGTGGTAATATGTAAGAGACAGCTGGTAAGATACTGCATGTCCCTGGAACTCTTTCCCAAGGACCTGTAACATCAGACAAAGGTGCCAGTGACGGGGTTGTGCCCATCATCTGAGCCACACTGGACCAAGTCCTTGTCTGGGGGCTGGAACACAGAAGTAGGCTGTTGAAGGCTACTGCTTTCAGGCAGCCCATGCCTTAGTAAAGATATTCTGCAAGAGAACAGAATTGGCAGTCTCCACCAGCCACCCCCGTTCCCGTCATTTTCTGAGCCATCCTGACTTGAAGTGGTTCATCTCACCCCTTTGTTTCTCTCAATGGGGCTATGAACAAACCTGTTTCTGGATGTAAATATGCCTGTCATTCTGTAGCATGTCTGCTCCCAAAAATGTAGCTATCTCTTCTGCAAGGGCAAAAGCAGGCATACATCCCTCAGTTAAGAGAACTGAGTATTGTCTGGGATGCCACATTGTCCTGCGAATCAGAGCACGTACTTACATCCTCAGTCAAATCCTCACCAAGTTACTTGCCCTCCCTGCCTCCTCAGTTTACCCAGTTTAGTCAACAGTTAATAATTCTTGCTACCCCTTCCCTCCAGGATAGTGTGAAAATTATCTTTGTAACATACGCTTATTGCCTTAGAAAACACATGCCCTGTAAATGCATAGCATCATCATTATCATTCATTGAAACCTGCTGTATGACTTGGGACAAGCCACTTAAGTTTGCTGGGTCTCAATTTAAAATTCTATAAAATCGGAAAATGTATTATAAAAACAGAGAACCATTGTGAGGCTTAACTAATTAGTGTTTACATAACACTTTGAGATTCTTAGATGAAAGGCATTTGGAAGATCATTATCATAGTAAACATTATTATTGACTGTTTATTGTACCCTGCCATGCATGAGGAATTCCAAAAAAAAAAACACAGAAGTGATAGTCCTCTCGCAGGAGAGTGTAATAGGTATTATTATTGAACTGGAGTCTGTGATGAGTCCAGCCCAGGATGATACTAAGTATAAAGTACTCCCCAAAGAGGGCATAAATAACCTGTTGTTGCAGGGTACCATTTTGTAAAACACCTCTTCCCGAGGACACGATGTTAACCTGACACTCTGAAAGAGTTCCTGCCTATGGGTTTGTAAAGCCTGAAGTCTGTTCTGCTCACCTAGGTTCTTTTAATAAATGAGCTCTCCAGCTTTTTTGTTGGCTCAAAGAGGCCTGGTGCTTCTCGTGCTAGCCAGTGTGCCAAGGTGGAACCGACAGTCACACTTCATGGTGCCAGGCCAAGAGAGAAAAATACAGTCCATTGTGCCTACCTCTCCAAAACCCTCCCAAGCCTATTGGTAAAAAGAAAACTTGAGAAATGGCTGGAGGTTTCTACAGCATTTAATTATTTCAAACCAACAGGTAAGATCAACAGACTCTTGGACAGCCCCTGGCAGTGCAAACCCCACTGGTTCTTATTGCTTTCTTCATGCGGCAGTCAGGCCAAAGGAACTTTGCAAGCCTTCAGGAATATTACAGGCTCCTGAATAATTGATCTCTCTTCCTCCCCACAATGTGAATTTTTAGAAATATTTCTGAATTAAGACAGGTAGGAAAGTAGTGAAATTTGCAAGCTTAGGTTTGAAAAATATAAGAATTTAAATCCTGCTACAGCTGCTCAGTAGTCGTATACTTTGTGTGAGTTCCTTAAACCTGGGGGCCTCAATTCCCCATCCATGAACTGGAGATAATAGTAGTTACCTACGTCAGAGAGTTGTTGGGAGAAATAAATGAGATGATTCATGTCAGTTAGCTCTTAGCACGGCGACTGGCTCATACTTAGTGCTCAGTAAATGTTAGCTGGTATTGTTATTGAAGTGACTCAGTACTTTTCACTCTAAATTGCACGTCCTCCTTGACCTGCTTGTTGATGGAGTGTCATCCAAAGATGGTCCCTAGTACCCTGATTTCTGGACTGTTTGATTTTTCTCCACATGATCAATGGCTATGATTCAGATGCATGATTCTTCCCAGCTTGCACTGCCCTGGCAGCCCACTTCCAAGACCCCTAAGGAGCTAGGAGCTGATTCCAGAAGAAAACTTGCTAGCAACTTTCACTTCCCCAAGTAACAAGCCCAAATGAACACCTTTTTGGAGGCGAGAAGCTTCCACTTCCCAGTGTCTCTGATTTTTCCCTAACTTCTCTAGTTCTCCTGTCTCCTGTCTCTCTATTCCCAACACAAATGTCTCTGCCCTGGGTGTTGCAAGGCCAGACTTTCTCCCTTCTTTGTTACACATCATGCTAACCACACACATTTCTGTCTCGCTTGCCCCAGCTTAGCAAGAACACACCTGCCGCCTTCA